GAACATACCAGAGCGCCTCAAATCGAAGATCTACAGAACCGTTGTCGGACAAGTCGCCAGGCTGGACTTCGATGGTACGGGCACGTCCTTGGGTCCATAAGACCGCCATCGCTCTCGACGTGCTCAGGAATGGCCTAAAGGACGTCCGAAGCAGCGCTGGCTTGACACGCTGCACGTTAGTTGATATTTAGTGGCCTCCATCCTGAGCAAGCGTTGAATTGGGGGAAGTGGCGCCAACGTACCAGGAAAGCAGACCAGCAGTTTGGTGGAAACAAGTGTCGTGACAAGGTGTCGCCAACTGGCGCCAGATGGCGCCACCGCTAAAAATGAATGTCGTTTTCGTAATCAGCATATCGAATTACCCCTATGGGCAAGTTACGGTTGTCTCTAGATGTACGCAAGTGCACTGCACCAGCGGAGGTGTTTTTACGTGATATCGGCGCGGGCTTATCTACCGAAGATTACTTCCACTATGCCTTTTTATTCACATGGTCCGATATTGTGAGGAAAACGAGGAATTAACCATGCTGTCAATTCCGCAACGCTCTGTTACACTTCAGCATATTGAAGAACCATGTCTTTTGCAGTTATGTTATGGTATGAGTCCGTATAATGGGTACAAACAGCTTGGGAAGAAGCCGTGCATGCGCTGGAAAAAGGGATGAGAACGATAAGAAGCGCAGCCGCGTGTCAATGACCGACGTGACCCGCAAAGCGATCGTCAATGTGACATTTCTAATGGGCTTTAGCCTTGAACTTCGCCTTTGAGCCATAGGCTTGGGTAAGGCGTTCACTAAATGGGCGGCGCCTACTGGAAGAAATCATTATTCGATAAAAAGACGGCCTGCAGACGGGAAAGGAAAGTGCGGATAGCAATGAGGTAGGAAAAATTAGTTTGGGCGATGTGGAAAGTGTGCAAGACTGAGCGAAGTCACGCCCACGATGGACAAATTATGCCCTCGATTGGGTACAGCATACTGTAGTCATTCAAAACTCTGTTTAAAAGCGCCCTAAAGGCCACGAGAAAGCGGATAGACATACAACAGACGTACCGAAGTGGGAAGGTTAAGTATTCATAGTGGATGGCGTGAACTGAGATGGGATGGGCTGGGAATAAGGAATTCCAACTGCCGCGTTCTCGAATAGTGGCAGCTCCGCCTCACTCGCTGCACAAGTGTTCGGGCTGGTGCACAAAATTTTCGACATGTTGAAAGTTATAGGGCCGTCGAGACGAATGTGTACAGAAGTCATTGACGACAATGGTAATGCAGCAATTCACTTGCATCTTCACAACAATTACCGTTGCAATCACTTGTCTTCCTGCTCAAAGGCAAGAATCAGGATTACATTGATGGGTTGATTCCACTCAAATGTGAAAGTAGGGATGAGAGGTGGACCGCCAATGGAGAAAAAAGGAAAAAAATGCACAGGAAATACGAGCATTTTGCTCTATGCTGTGGAGAAGTTCAAAAGACAGGCAGGGAGATGAGAGATAATGTGAGCGCGGAGAGTGGTAGAGAAGTCCGAGAAGAGAGAGCATAGCAGATCAACGCAGACGCAGACAAGATCGATCGGTGGGCGGACCATGTTATGTTTGGTGGAGTCTGTTAGAAGTTCATGGCGCCTAGGGTCCTAGTGACGCGTTTCGATGTAGAAAGGTGGCGCTACCTTTGCACTTGCGTACCCAGCACTTCTAGCCATGGTAAGGGCTTCTTAGGTGGGTCTGAGCCCGAACTTTGCCTTTAAGGATGAGTGTGCCACGAGTAAGATAAGGGGAGGGGTGAAGTGCTCAGCGTTACTCGATTCTGCTCCACTTCCCCTCTCCTCCTACCAATCTTACTCTGAAATGGGGGGTGCAAATCATTAACATTTCGGTGTATTTATGCATTGCGCAGCTTATCCCAAAAAGGAATGTTCAGTGCCGTGCGATCTATCCTTTCTGATAGCCTGTCAGTCTCAATGGGGAAAACTGAAAACACAATTAAATCGCTTTCTACTTCAGAATAAACTTAATTCGATATTTCTTTCCATTAATTCCAATCACAGATAAGGCTCAGTTGCCCTAGCGGCCTAGCGGATCTTAATTCGGAGCAGGGTAACCCTACCGTTTGCATCTTTTTCTAATTTTTACGACCCTCCCCCTTTCCAGGAGTCTTGATACGTAACCCATCTTTGAAGGTGTGTGTGGATTCACTATTATCACATATGGACGAGGAATAAATTGGAGCGCGTGGATAGCTCCCGTTCTCCCTGGTCTCCTGCTCCAATCGAATGAAACTAATTTCGAGCTTGTGCGATAAGGTAAGAAGGTTAGGGGTACCCCCCCCCCCCCCCAGGAGGCCCGTCGCGCGGCAAGAAGGCAGAGTCGGCGGACGAGTTGCAGCGCGTGGTGTGCGATGTAGGACGTGCAGTGGGACACTCTATTTAACTTGACGCGAAATCCCTATAGTACGCGCGCGACTCGTCCGCTGACTTTGCCTTCTTGCCGCGCGACGGGCCTCCTGGGGGGGGGGGTTCCCGAAGAGTTTAGGGGGACAGATCGTCCTCTCTTCAGAAAGCGCTGAATACCTTAAAAAATATAACTTCTAACTTCTTCATTTGGGAAGCCTCAGACGGCATGACAAACTAAGATTATAGCATGCAAAAAGTGCTAAATTTGCTCGAAGAGTTAACGATTTGAAAATTTGCCCGTTGGGACTTTTTAAGCGGTTTGTTGGACTTATTTCTTGGATTAGAGAGTTTCCAATCTTCAAACAATCGGAATTCCTGAAAGTCACTTTTTGGGAAGTTCAAGCCGGTATGACAAACCACAAGATCCAAACTTTCTGTTAATAACCAAATTTTATTCAAAAAAAAAGAATCCAAAAACGATTTTATTAAGAAAAAACGACTCAAAAATTATTCTCATTGGAACTTTTTTGATGACAGGTCATTTTCTTGGAACGTGAGTTTTTCAGGTTGCGTGCTTTCGAAATTCAACTCAAGTGTTGTGGAAATCCCTCCCTCCAAAAATTATTTCTTTGATAAAAATTTCCATTTTGCTCGAAGGAGTCCATCCCCCATACTACAGGAAATTTCTTCGTTTCTTTCACTCCAGAAGCATCGGCATCCTTCTACACAATTTTTTGTCACTGATATCATGAACCGAAAACACTTTGCGCTAGGAACCCCTGCCATGGGGGGGCGTGTTGTGCGGTCTGATTCGCCGAGTTCCCCCCCCCACCATGGATCAAGCCCTATCCCACGTCATGAACCAATATAAGGCTCTCCCTTCCCTGTGGGAGATATACGAGAATTCGGTGAATTCCAAGTAGCGAAGTAGCGTGTTACGTTAGATCCCTCTGAGCACAGCTGATGTTTTTCCTAACAGCGGCTAAGAACTCGGCAAAAAATTAGACCATTAATCATTCTTGATTGGTGGACATTCAAAACGCTGACTGTTTTCTCAAAAGTTGTATATCCGGGAGTAGATTCGGCCGTTGGATTTTTATGATTTGTTTTTTTTTTTGCTTTTCTGGTAAAAAAAATGGGCCGGGTATTTTTGTTAGTACAACTTCAAAAATGAGATAGTTTATTTCGAAAACTGCCGTTTCTTACGCTTTCATTAACTACGCTCGATATTCATATATGAAAAACCTTCATCAAATTCGCTCGCTATTCATATAAGCAAAATGTTCATTAACGAAAAGGCCGGAAATTCCGTCATAGGCTTTCTGTAAGCCCAAAATCCACTATAAATTTGTGAAGAACTGGTCGTACATTTATTTATTATTTATTTTATTTATTTATTTATTGCACAAAAGGTGCGCCACCAGAGCCAGTAGTTGATTGAAAATCAAGGACTGGAACAAAGAATCCAATACACAAAGAATAAAACGAAAAACATCAAACAGGAAGTAACACAACATTCAACCATGGGTTGAAGAAATATATCCAATACCTGTTATGTGTACAAGACAAGCAGGTGAGAGCTAAAGAGCTTGCGTCAAATATTGCTGTAAATCAACCTGCAGATGACATATTCAGTAGTACCGAGACAGACCCAAGATCTTGCTGATTACCGAAAGTGTTATTGAAAGAGTTTCATTCGATAAATTAACTAAATGTAAGGGACATTGCCTAGTCATCGCCTCAAGTATTTTCTGCAAAAGTAAGCTGAAGTGAAAAGGGGAGCGCGGGTCAGTCTGGGCAACGCAACTAACCGTAGTTATTCCGGGGCGGGCCAAAATAGGTACCTCTTTGATCTAAATACGAACCCCAGGCGTAAAACCCAGACCCAAGTGGACTGTCATAAAGATCAAGTCACTTGTTGACCCGCACTCAAATCAAGACACAAGAAAGTTGCATCATATGAGCGCGGATGACGGCAAGGTAAGTGAAAGGATGATATTTTCTGTCACAAGCTCTTGGACTAGTACTACTTGTGGTTAGTAATAAATTGAAGAGAAACAGAAAGATACAGCTGATTGACGCAGGTTCAGTAGCATTACCTGAAACCTAGCAAGTGACATAAATGACATTCATTTTTGAATAAATTAGTGTGAAGTACAAACTACTGAATTCACGAAGGCCCGGTTTTATTTGTGCATCTGGTAAAGACGGCAAGAAAATTCAGCCAAATAGTATATCCTTCCATCAATAAGCGGAGAGCTGAAAAGTTAAGATTGGAGATCTGTTATTGAGAGAAACCAAGAACATGGTCAAGATTCACCTTTTCCAATCTTCTCTTGAAAGTAGCACTATTGACAGAGGCAAGAATTTTTGGGGGAAGCAAATTAAACCATCTTGCGCTGCGACAGAACACGTTATTGAAGAACAGGGAGCGGTATTTGTTACCAATGCGAGCATAATGGAGATTGAACCTCCCTTGCCTCCCACTAGTCGGTCTGAAGATCCAGTACTTACTGGCACACAATTTCGATTCTCCACGGAGGATGCGAAAGCAGAAAACAAGGTCAGATAATGCGCGCCTATATGCAGCGTCCTAAGACCGAACATTCTTAGTCGTTCTTCATAACTGGGTAAATTATTGCGACGATAGTCGTGTGTGATTCTGTACCATAGGAGCCGTGTGAATACACGCTGTACTTTTTCGATTTTTGCAATATTCTTCTTAGAACATGGGCTCCAGACTTGTGAACAATATTCAACATGTGGCAATACACAAGCCTTATAAAGACGGCTGAGTATAGCTACATCCGAACATTGTATATTACGAAATAGTAGAAAAAGTTGGTGAATGCCTTCTTCACAGCATGATCAATATGAAGGGAGAACTTCAATCTGGGATCAAGGAGAACACCAAGGTCTCTAGCATTGGCTTAATGTGAGCTTAACACCACTGATGTAATAGTCCACTGGGTAGGTATCACCAATGTGCATAACCATGGATTTGCTCAAATTAAGGGGAATATCCCATTGCAAAGCCCAATCAGTCATTTTCTGGAAAGAGCATTTCAGAGCATCACGAATCATACCACAGTTATATTGGTCATAAGTTGCATAGATCTTAATATCATCTGCAAACATTTGAACTTTTATTTCTGATGATGTTTTTAGCAGGCTAGGCAAATCCAACGTGTAAATTAGAAACAA